AGTCCAACAAGGACTTGTTTATACAATTAGTCAATGAAAGTATAGATAACAAGTAAAAACACTACCATATACATTGCTGTGTTCTTGCACCTCTGAAATAAGGAATAACACATTCATCATCTTACAAAATAAAATAAAATTTCTAAACAATAAAAGCCACGCTTGCTCAACACAGAGGGGTTTTGCTGCAACAGCTGTATTTAGTCTGGTATGACTAGTAGCTTATCTTGGCTAATGTTAGCAAACGTTTGCAAATGTGAATGAATTTTCACACTGAATTTTAGCAAACTTTAGATGGCTGTGTTGCTGTGTAACTGACCTTAATGAGTCAGTTCCCTGGCTTGAAGGTTCTTCTTTAGATATTTCTACTTTTACACAGAATTTGTAGCATGTTACATTCTGTAACTGTCAGATGATTAGTGATACTTCTGATATAAACAGAACCTTTCAAGTTATTTTGCTGATGTGATGCAGTAAAACATGTTTTGTTGCTGTCTGGTGTGAGTCATTGTACTAAGAGACTTTTTAAGCGTCTGCCCCAATATTTGTTGCAGTCGCTCAAAGGAAAGCAAGAGAGTCTGTGACCATTTGGGACGTGTAAAACAGAATGCTTATTTCTATGAGACCAAGGTTCTTAATTCCCAATATAAAAGGATGATTACACATGCTGACAAAATCTCTCTCTAAAATAACTTCACCTCTCAACGAAAATATGAGCCATGCAAAACAGCAAAAACCTTCATTCTCCCAAACTAAGCTCTTTTCTGAAACTCCATCCAGCGGTTTAGCTCTGGATAGGTTTCAAGGCACCCGGGCCAGTGAAATGATGGTGTTATGTAGGGAATAGAAGTGATTATCTCTTCTTAAAAACAGAAGGTGCTGGGTCATTTTAGGACTCCAAGACTAAAATCCCTCAAATGACATAATAGCCACAACTGTCAAGGTACAGAATGTTTTAGTCGAACTGACTGTTTGAGGGTAATATTGCAGTGATAGTGTCCTTCCATAAACAACAAATACCAATGCCACACGATATACAATTTGCTTACTTTTTTCAGTCAGCTTTGGTTAATATGTCTGTTATAATTATTAAATATGAAGTACCAAAACCTTTGAAAAACCTTTTCTCTGATGACATTTCCAGGCATGGAAAACTACAATGACAGCAAACAAGAAATAATAATTCACTAAGCAGCTTTATTAGTATTGGCACTACAGCAGAGATACCCTTTCTTGCTTCGACATCTTAAATCACCTCTCTCTCTGCTTTTCTTGTTAGTTTGTTTTTTTAGCAACTCAAATAAATTTTTGAGGTATTTATCGAGCAAACAGACCAAAGATTTCCAGCTTTGCAAGTGTGAGTATTTGCTGCTGTTTTCTGTTTTGTAATGTTGTTCAGAAAGGACAAGCTACCCGAAGAGGTCGCCTGGGATTTTATAATGTTATTAGCAAACAAATTGAAACATACCTCCCTTTGTGTTCACATGGGGTCTACTCGACTTCTGTGGACAAAATCGGCTGCCACTAAATGGGTTAAATGTAGAGCACCCATTCCAGGTATGCGCAAAATTCAAAAAAAAATCTAAGTGTACTGCATCACAGTGCACTCCAACTTAAGTATTACTAACTTTTTAATGCACAATAGCCCGCCCATTCAATTAGGAACAGATGATGGCTTAGAAAGCAGCGTGTCACACTCTAAAATGAGGCGTTAATTCTTGGCAATGGTCTGTCCCTGGTGGATTCTCCTATCGGCTCTGACAGTCTCACAGCTGCCTCTCTGGGCTTTTCTTTGGGGGGGGGGTGAAGAGTTCTTTCTGCTGGTGCTGATCGTAATGAAGCCCACTAATCTCCACCATACTGTCTGAACTCGTAATAGAGCCAGCACATTAGACACGCTCCGGTTTCAATCACAGCACCACTGGGACAGACGGCGTCTCAGCACGAGTCGTCTTTATCCCCATCAAAAAGCGTTGGTCGACTGTCAATCATCCGTCTTCATCTTCATGGCACTTTTTCTACTCTGTTAGGAAAGCATCGGTCTCAACGCTCCAGCAATATACACAACCTATTAAGGTAACGATCCAAAACATTTATTAGAGAGCAATTTCCACTCTGCTATGCTATGTTTCTAATGATGTCACCAGCCATAGCAGGGCTTCCATAGCCATAATAACAATATAAATGACCAATAATAATAATACAAAGCACTCCAGTTAATAGCAATCACAAACGGTATACAGTATGTAAGTGGCATACACTCCTCAATTTTAAGAGGAAATTACATCACAGATCAATAAAAAGCGGGTCTTTCACCATGCTGACAGCGCAATTCAAGGGATTCACTCATTTTGGCAATACACAGTGAAGACTGGAAGGCGTCCTATAGCAAAGTGCACCAACTACCATGAGTCCTAATTATTTTAATTCATGTGTAATTGGCACAGAAGGACAGCAAGACAGTGTCTAGCGTTTTTGTTCCAAAAAGTCATCACGAAACCTTCTGTTTGTGACTGGGCCAGACTTTGTTTTTCCACCCAACGACAGTTACATCCACTTTACGTGACTGGACAGCTGTTTGGAGGTGTGCAGGTAGGCTGGGTTTGAACTTCTCTCTCAAGCTTTCTTTTTTTCATTTTTCAAACATTCACTGAGTCGCTTTACTTGTGTCTCGCAAGAGCAAAACCATGAGTGTTTGAGTGGAAAAAGTGTTCAGAAGTGGTCCACCCATTCGGACTTTTAGAAAAGGTATTAACACTTTTGCCTTTAGATGTAGTCAGAGAACACGTCGTACGGCCTAGTTCATTTCAAGAGTAAATAACTACACCAAATATGCCCGGTTTGAACGAGGATTAGTGCAGAATGGTAGACTAGTTGATCATTTGCTGACTATCTGACTAAAGGGACTTATTTTATCTGTTTATCTATGCCACCATGCTGTCACATAAGATAGGTAGTAATACTGGGATTTCTTAACAGCAACTACAGCAGAATAAATAGATCTGACAATGTTTTACATATCTCACTATCCACAGTGCAGGTATTAGTCACCTGGTTAGCAGACCTTAAAAAAGTGCAGCCTTACATCCAACTCCTTACAGACAGGATGAACATATATTTAAGCCTACAGATGTTTTCTAGTATTATGGCAGCATACACCCTCAGGACCTAAGATCTACGACAAAATTAGGGGATATATTGATACAGTTCATGTGTAAGTTTTCAAAATTACAAATTACAGTTACAAAATACAGTATGTGTCTAGTAAGCATTGCCCTGATATATAGGTAGACTTTCTGATTGTGTATTATGCAAAGCAACATTTCAAATCATGCTGGGGGGGGGGGGTCTTATACAGTTTCTGAGAAAACCCATTTATGTGTAATGGTTTGGCTGCTGGCTGAAAAATAGGCATGCCATTTAGTAGACACTTTCCAGCGTGAATGGGTCAATTGTAATGCATATTAGCATGTGTCAGTGGAGGGGGGGGGGGCTTCGTTCCATAGTTGCAGTTTCTTTCATGCACAGACTGAAAACAAAGACCAGCACAAAGCAGTCTGCCCTCATGAACAGGATGTTGTCTGCAGCTCCATATCGCTTCGCAAGGACACATGAGAGTGAAAATGCACACACATGACTCTTCCATGTGCCGTCACTCAATGTTACAGGGAGGCAAGTGTGAAATGAGGCAGCGGCTATTTTGTTAGGATCACAGAAGAGGTCAAGAGTGATCATCCAAGATTAAAATATGACTGTAATATTTTATTTTGAAGTACATTGTGGCCCTATTAGGAATAATATTATCTGACCCTAGTATACAGTGTAATCCAGGTTCCAATATGCTGGCTATAGTTCTTTAATATTCTCATAGGACTAAAATAAACTGTTTTCAGAATATGCCTTTCCCAAAGAAAAGTGGACTCTTGGACTTGCCCCATATGGTAAATTGAGCCACATGGGGCTCGGGGACATCGCGTCATTTCATCGTGCAAACTCAAATGCCAGTTCCCAACATTTAATTGCAAACATTGCAGCTATGTTTCCTAATTGTTTCATATGAATGTATCGCTTTAAAGTCATCCTGTTGATGGTCATGTCCCGTGCCACCTAATGTAATGACTTCCCATTTGTGCACCTCTCCCACTACTCTGTCCAAATCCGCAAGAGGATTTGAAGCCTGTCTGTCTTCCATTCATAGAAGCATGTCATGATCATTTCTGGTCTAAAAGGCATAATGTCACATCATTTCGGTGATGCATAAGAATGCAACGTAAAATTACAGTTAAATAGCTGGCTCAACTTCCCCCAGGTCTTTTGGCTCAAATTACCCAATCCCTGCCATTTTAACAAAATTGAGCCATCCAGCAGTTTAAGGGTAACGTCATGCAGTATAGCCTCATATTGTAACTTCCTAAAGCACTAACACAAACGTAAGATTTTTTCAAACCTTTCTGTAATTGTTCAGACACAAGAATCAGGACTCCTCGAACATAACAAACGGCAACAGTTTTTTAATCTTAAATGTGCTTATCACTTATTCCATGGGCTTCTCTTCATCACAGGGTGAGGAAAATGGATGACTCTTCAAAAATGTGTATTCACATGACCAAGTGACCAATTCTCAACTTCCCCACAGGCTCAAATCACCCCGCTCTCCCCTACATATGGTATTTAGAAAACAATTCAGCATCACTATCAATCCCTATAATATTTCTGTGGTGTTTCCTTTAGTCTCAAATACTGCAATATTTTGACTTGCAGTAGCCTCTATGGCTGGGTTATATTATAGTGATTCTGTTTAATGATATTGTTGAGCTAGTTGGATTTTTCATCTGCTGTAGAAAAAGTACAATATCGTTCTATATTTTTCCTTCTATAAGCGCTGCACGCCGTCCCAAAGTCAATTACATGATTACTACATAACTTTATCACAGGGTTTGCTTTCTTATTATCGTCACATAACATGGTGAATTCTAACGTTAAACACTCGTGATTTTTACCGTCGACGTTCTCCCTGTCGCTGATGTGCTGCAGGTTGCATCCCGTCTCCTCCCTGCTCAGCTCCGACTCCTGGTGGTACGACTCCAGCCTGGAGTGGGCATTTCTGCGGAGCTTGGGGCTTGCAGACACGCAGCAAGAGGTCGTGCTCCCCATCGTCCCCCTTTATCGACCCCGGAAGTAGGGGATGTGTTAACTGTCCTTTCCGCTGAAATGAAAGCTTGAAGCTATGGGTCACCAACCCCACCGAGGCGAGCCGGTCACCACAGATCACCGGAGCGCATAGGGTGCATCCGTATCGCAGTGCCCATGGATCCTGTCAGTCGTCGGTGTCCACGGAGAGGCTGTCACAGAGGATGGATATGTCACTTCCACCGGTAGTAGCCGATGTATCCTGCCGCCGCTCTCCCGCGCATCGTAAAACAGGACGCATCCAGCTCCCGGGCTGAGATGACAGGCGACGGGCGCGCAGCGGCGTGTGGATCGATGTTGTGGCTGGATGTCAGGGCGATAGACCGAGAGGGAGGGCTGCAAATCCTGACTAAAGGTTCCGGTTCAAGTGGGTGGTTACAAACGAGAGGACGGGTGTCAGGGCTGATTTAATGTTTTATTGCTGATAAAGCTGATGCAGGCTACATTAATTTATTATATGCCGATAATATAGAGTAGTCCACGTATATCTGTCTATTCTGTCAGTAGATGGGTTAACGGTAGCTATATACAGTTTTCCCCATGCTAAGTGAATAAACTTGAATCACATTCAAACGAATTTGTATTTGTCATAATAGTGTGTGTGTGTGTGTGTGTGTGTGTGTGTGTGTGTTCAGTTTGAGAGTCAGATGGCCCCACAGTCCATATTAAAGCCTATATTAAACTCAGGATTAGGGTTTGTCAGGGTTTTATAGAGTTAATTCATTTATGTCCTTATTTATGTTTGTCAGAACGTTTTCAAAAGTGCCTCAAGAGCTGCTGTAGGGATTATATTTCATTAGTCAACTTTTAGTGGGTGGGGTAAACAAAGAGGTCAAGTTCGAGGTCAAGTATTTTAATAATAAGTAAATAAACATATAAATGGCAGTTCTTTCCTTTACTTTGTGGATTTCACAATTTTTAGCAATTTTTAGATTATTTAGCTTGTCACCTAGCTCACCTAGATCTAGATTTAGGCCTTGTGTGGTGACCCAAATCTGAAAAACAAGAGATCAAACTTCTGGGGCCGATCAATAAACTAAGTGTCTACACAAAATAATCCCAAAATTAACTGTATTTTGGTTAAAGCCCAATAAAATCTTATTGTTTTGTCTGCTTTGCTTATTTATATCATTTCCAGGTCATGCTGAATTATCTGTGCTGAAAACAACGCAATGTGAAAAATCCTTCAAAGCACTTGATATAGTTAAAACGATGCCACCTGTAATGCATTTGAATGATTTTTTAAATGCAAGACCCTGTAATGGAGGGTATAAATGTCATGTCTTGATAAAAGTAATTAAGTTAAAAATCACAAAAACTGACTTTTCAACTGATTTCTATTACTCTCATTTAAAACATACGGACAAGCAACTCAAAAACAGTGTGACATGTTCCCAATACATGTAAGCCTCGTGATAAAATTTCTTTTTTACCTACACATTGCAAAGACATGAATCTGCTGCACATGCTCTGCAACTGTATCATATATCCACCAGGAGGCAGATCACGGTACGTGCATGCAAACGCACACTTATGAGCAAGCAAATCAGCACTCTGAAGTGGTTAAGTATGCTTCAAACTACACGGGTTATATGAGGTAGTGCCACAAATGATGTGTCATCTTATCATGTTAAAAGGCAAAAGTGTGTAGACTACACTTATTTCAAATGGTCACAACTGTCAAAGCCTCCTCATGGCTGCAAGTCCACAGCCTTCTTAAATTGTGTGACTTTTGCATGTTTGCATAGTCCCGAAGCAACGGGTCATAGAAGGACCATGACACTCTTGGACAGCCTGTCCTTGGAGATAGTTATGGACTTGTGCTTGGGTGAACAGAGTGCATGTGACAGCTGTAGGCTAAATGGAATGAAAAACGGCGCTTGCGAGTAAAGATCAAAAGCTGTCTAACTTTTACACGCCCTCACACCTGGGCCCTGGGCCACAAATTTTGTGGCATGAATGGATCTTTCGTTTCATTGCTATGAATTGCTAAGTTAATTTACAACAATCTTTGGAACACTTTTGAGTGCGTTAAGGAAATTAATCTCATTTTTGAAGTGACAAGATGTTCTTAAAAGGGAGGTGGGACAACCTCTTCTTCAGTGCCCCGAGTCTTTTAATGTGGAAACGCCACACCTGTTTGCGACAACACCTGTTCATTTATGCATTCACACAGTTGGGGATTTTCTGTCTCCCTGCATGTGTCAGCTGCAGCTGTGCTACTTAGATTATGTCATGACTATGTCCTGCCAGTGGACTTGCCTCACTATATATATACACTCACCTAAAGGATTATTAGGAACACCTGTTCAATTTCTCATTAATGCAATTATCTAATCAACCAATCACATGGCAGTTGCTTCATGCATTTAGGGGTGTGGTCCTGGTCAAGACAATCTCCTGAACTCCAAACTGAATGTCAGAATGGGAAAGAAAGGTGATTTAAGCAATTTTGAGCGTGGCATGGTTGTTGGTGCCAGACGGGCCGGTCTGAGTATTTCACAATCTGCTCAGTTACTGGGATTTTTACGCACAACCATTTCAGGGTTTACAAAGAATGGTGTGAAAAGGGAAAAACATCCAGTATGCGGCAGTCCTGTGGGCGAAAATGCCTCGTTGATGCTAGAGGTCAGAGGAGAATGGGCCGACTGATTCAAATGCTCCGTACTTGTATAGCGCCTTTCTAGTCTTTTCGACCACTCAAAGCGCTTTTACACTACATCTGCATTCACCAGTCATACACATTCATACACTGAGTCTAAGTGCTCAAACAGAAACTAGCATTCACACTCATTCATACACTGGCGGAATAGCCAGTTGAAACGGCCTACCTTAGCATTGTTTTTGACCATGTCCATCCCTTTATGGCCACCATGTACCCATCCTCTGATGGCTACTTCCAGCAGGATAATGCACCATGTCACAAAGCTCCAATCATTTCAAGTTGGTTTCTTGAACATGACAATGAGTTCACTGTACTAAAATGGCCCCACAGACACCAGATCTCAACCCAATAGAGCATCTTTGGCATGTGGTGGAACGGGAGCTTCGTGCCCTGGATGTGCATCCCACAAATCTCCATCAACTGCAAGATGCTATCCATCAATATGGGCCAACATTTCTAAAGAATGCTTTCAGCACCTTGTTGAATCAATGCCACGTAGAATTAAGGCAGTTCTGAAGGCGAAAGGGGGTCAAACACAGTATTAGTATGGTGTTCCTAATAATCCTTTAGGTGAGTGTATATGTGTGTGTGATATTGTTTTGTTTATTTACAGAAGTTGAACTTTCTCTTGCAGTAGTGTGTGTTGAACAGCAGAGGTCCTTCTTGCTGCAATAGTGAAGCACTGTTTACATCATCATGGTAGTAAACTTGGTAGGCATTAGTCTCTAGGTGGAAATTTCCACTCTGGCCACACTGGACCAAAGGCCACAACCACGTTTGAAAGACAACTAAATGAAATATTAAAGAGCCTCCCACGCTGCAGCTTTTAAGCTCTGGTTCGTTTTTAGCGTAAGCAGAGGGGAAATCTAGTGAATGCAGTATATTTAGAGGTTGGATAAATTCTTTTGAATATAAAATTGTGCCTGTTTTGAACAGCAATTGACTTAATATTGACAAATCCAAAAAACAGAGTGAAATCCTTATTATGTATTTGGAATTTTCATATTCGCTTGAATACATTAACTGTGAATGTAATGATCCCAGTAAAGTCAAAAGATCCCAGTTGACTCATGCAAGTTCAACCATGCACACAATATGTAATCCAATCATTTTAGATGTCATCTGAATCGAGGAATTTATGTAACATTGCGAGAGAACCAGCTGCAAGGTTTTCTGTTCACAAACAGCAGTTTCAAGGTTTCCCTCAGAAGCATTGTTCACCCTTTCAACTATCTATTCGTGTGTGTGTGTGTGTGTGTGTGTGTGTGTGTGTGTGTATCTGAGACGGCATGATAAGTTTTGTTTGAGAGGGAGAAACACATGGGGCGTAAAGACCAATCCCACTTTAATAAAGAAAGGAATAGAATTAACTCCACTTTCATCACCATCAAGGAGGTCAATACTATGTCACCAGGGGTTGCTATGGAAACGACATAAAAGTAACTTCATTAAATGGCTTCTAAAGTTTTACATCCTTCTAATTTAGTTATTTTCACTTTCTTTCAGTCCACGCTGTTTTATTGTTTTTTAACACAAAACAATATATTTTTTTTTGTATCAAGAAAGCTGGGCAAAACACATTTTGAACTGAGGTTTTTGGTGTTATAAACACACCATAGGGACTTGTAATATGAATACTATCTGCCTTGGTAGCATGACCTTTCATATTTCATTTAGTGAGATATGAAGCAACCAAAGATATTTAAAGCAAAGGGAAGCTAACCATTATTGGCAGAGTACCAAATTAAAAACCAAAGTTTGTGGCACTTTTCAGTTGGACTCTAGTTAGTTGGGTCCGTTAGGACCGTTAGGAACTAGAGGGAAATTAAACATAACTCAACAAGTTACGGACAAACAACCCCTTCCATCACCTTGAGCCACAATGGACACAAACACCAACAAAAAACAATATAGTTCAAAGAAGTGTCATTTATCACTGAACTTTTGAAACTTCATGTAGACTGTGTGATAGTTTGGTAGTCATGCCAAAACATGACAGAACATGATCAGGTTACCCTTTAATCAATGCATTTCTGGTATAAAATCACCACAGATTGACAGTCAGGGGAGTTGTGAGACTCACTCTGACTGACTGAGTGAGAAAGTGATGGACGGAATGAAGTGACAATAAATGAAACGAGAAGTCAAATATCTCCCCACTGCATATGTTCCTGATTAAATCTCTGCTGTGCATGTCTTAATGTTGCTTCTCTGTGAAGGTGTTATCAAAGACTTATTTCCACTTTATGTGACAATAAAGCTGTATTGCATTGTATTGTAATTACGATTAGATAATGATAAATAATAATAATCCTTGAATGAAAATGCAAAAAGTGTTTTTCACCCTAAATCACTTACTGAGGCTTCGATGCAGGAGAACATTCTGTCCTATCAAAATAACACAGTTGATTTATTTAGTGACAGTATTTAGGTACCTCTCGCTACCAAACAGAGTCAGCACTGTGCATCTGTGTTTTATGCACCTTTAGCTGCACCTACATGAAAAGCTGTCTTGAACCCTGAAGAGGAGGAAGACGTGTGAGTGCTGGGTGAGCAATAAGCAACGGTCCATTTCA